TAGGGGTCTGCGGTAAGATTGCTTCAGGTGAGAGAAGTGTTCTGGGCTATACTTCAATCAAAGATGACTGGAAAACGATAATTTTGTATTTTGGTATGAGGTATGGTATGATGACTTGTGCTTAATATGACTGTGATAGTAAACATGGAGAAAAGGTTCATTTTGATTTTAGATTCTTTTAAACTTTTGAAATAAGACATATTGAATTACTGCTGTCAGAAATGTCGGCCTTCTATTAAATATGGGTATTTAGGCCCAGCCTACCTCGTCACAACACAGCTGACTGACCTGAAGACGCTCCACAGATGAGTTAGAATGGTGTGATTGTGGTTCAGTATTTTCTAACTCTCAGTTTCACTTAAATATTTTTCCCCCTAATAAATTCATGCACTATATGGCCAGAAGTATGTGGACACCTATCATGCCTATTTAAGCTGGTTTGGCATCCCATTTTTTCCGCTAAAACTGAGGAACTGAGCCCAAATCTTAAACAGCCCCAGACCATTATCCCTCCTCCACCAACTTGTGCATTTCAGTAGGAAGCGTTCTCCTGGCATCTGCCATGCCCACATTTGCCCATCAGACTGCTGGATAGTGAAGAATAATTCATAACTCCAGAGGACGTGTTTCCACAGCTCCAGAGCCCAGTGGCAGTGTGCTTTACACCACTTCAGCCGACCCTTTATATTATGCATAGTTATCTTAGGCTTGTGTGAACCTGCTTAGTCATGGAAACACATTTAATGAAGTTCCCGACACAAAGTTATTGTGCTGATGTTGCCTCTAGAGGCATTTTGGTACTTTGTAGTGAGTAATGCAGTAGATGATAAGTAATTTTTATGTGCTTTAGCACTCAGCGGCCCTGTTCTGTGAGTTTGCATGGTCTATTGCTTTGCGGTTGAGATGTTGGTCCGCCTAGATGCTTCCGTTTCCCAATAATAGCACTTACAGTTGACTGGGGCAGATCTAGCAGGCAGAACTTTCACAGACTGACTTGGGAAAGGTGGCATCCTATGACGGTGCCACATTTAAAGCAATGGGTGTGGATAAAACATGTGAACTCAATAATTAGGATAGTTCACCGACTTAGAAATGAATTGTTAAGGATTTCATGTAAGCCTTTAGGTCAGAGAGTCTTTAAAATGATGAAATATGCTTAATCAGTTGTGTCCAAACATTCGACTGAGTCTGTTCATGTCCGTTTTATATCTGCATAATACGTAATGTGTATCTATGATCTATTGCTCCATGATACTAAAAGAGATTTAGTAGCATTTATGACCTCATTGTAATGGAATTATGATGTCACACGCTGCCCATTTGAGTTCTGCCTGCTGGCTATTGTGTGCAGTTATCGGCTCGTATCTTCCCCTAAAACGTTATTGTAATGCATTCTAATGGCCTGGTCTTCTCTGGCTGCTCTGCCTTCTCAGCCAGAGGAATGCTATCTCTTCGTTTTCTTTTCCTCCGCTCTCTCCCTAGTTTCCAGAGCCGTGCGGAGTGACGCCACTTCCCCTCCTCTCGTCCTTGGGGATGATGGACAGATAAGAAGGCCCTCAATCACCCGCTGAAGGAAAAAGAGGCAGCGGAGATAAGAAATGGGCAAAGAAAAGGAGTGCAAGAAAGAAAAACATTCCTTATTCTTCTCCTCTTTCTCTCTCCTCGTTTGATTCTTCCCTTATCTTGCCCAGTTTTCTCTGGCCTCTGCCCTTCCTCCCGTTCAGATTTCTCCATTTCTGCTGCCTGGGTCTCTTCTTTTCTCTGCTTCTCTCTTCCAGCAGCCTCTGGAAGAGGTTAGTCTGGTGTAGCTGGAGCAGAGCAGGAAGGAGGTATTGATTTGTGTAGATTACTCTAACACCTACATGAGTATGAGAATATGCAAGATAGTTTGAATTGCCTTAAAGGAACAGTTCAGCAAAAAACACATTTGTACAGTTTTCACATGTAGTTGTGACATTTTTGATGCCTGATGTTTTCGTCTTTAATTTTTCTCTGGAGCCATAAGGCTAATGTAGCTAAACGGTAATGGAAACTTTTATCCCACCAAATAGCATCTTGCAAAATGTATGCTGAAGTCATCTCTTACCTCAAATCGTATAAAGTTGTGAAATTGAGGTTTCTGACACTGTTTGGCATATTATTATCTATAAAAATTGACAAAGTACGACTAAAATTCAGGCTTCAAGATGATTGCTAGTGTTTTATTAGCTATTTTTTTTATATTTTTTTCCCTTTTTTTTTAAGGGCTCTATATCCTACATTATTCTCGTATTTTATTTTTTCCCCTGAGATGCACTTATAGTGCTTATGTGGTTTTATGCACCAGAAGTCAAAATTCCATTTTCTGACCTCTTTCTATGCCTTATAATTAAATGCACTGTTGTAACTGTGTTTTTAAAAAGATGTAAATTATCTCTGTGCTGATTGGCTGTATTGTGTTGTGTCTCATTCAAAAAGCAGCCCACACATAAATCCAGTGTGAATGGGTGGGGCTAAACTGCTGTGGGTGGATTTGGCATGTTTATGAAAATGTGATGGTTTGCGTGCCAACAGGTGAATTCAAAATGGGCTGTTTTTGAAGCTTAGTTTCTTTATATAGACAGCTGATTCGACGGTATAGAACAGTGAGGACAGTGAAGTTTTTCATGATATGGGCCAAGTTTTCAAAGATATTAGTGGGGAATTTGAAGCAAACTTCAAACGTGTTTTGACAGATTGACTATATTTTAGAAAAAAGGAGAAACTCTGCATGTTAGATATTTATGCCAAACTATGCCTTTTAACAGCAGTGCATTCATGTATAGTGAGTCTCGGTGGCCTAATTGTTTGTCTCACGGAATGAAAATAATCACAGTCAGTCTTGCTCTCGCCCACTGACCTAATGGGCTACGTTAACCTTCTTGCACCAGAAGGTCTCGGCTCACTAGCCTAGATATTGAATATAATAGAGGATGTGAAGCATGACATTAACCTACATTTGACAATGCTGAGTAAAACCAATGGATCATTTACACACCCTACTTACTGACACATGCAGAAAGGTTAAGTCTCCATACATGGACATGGACCAAACCTCTTCACTGCTGAAAACTCCTTTAAAAAGGAAAAAAGAGAGAGATGTTTATTAAATGGGTCAAATGGCATGTTTTTTGTTTTCCCTTGGTAAAACCCTTTTTCTTTGCTGTTTAAGAAGGCTATTAATAATTAATCATTTTACATACCACATTTGGAATTAACAGCATGACTACTCACTAGCGCGGATAATTACGTTCTCCGGGCAGCTTTAACCTACATTTCGGTCTTATTGAGCTTTGGCTGAGGGCTGGCTGCAGTCCTGTGTTTTTCCTGACCGCTTCCAAGAAGAGTGTGTGCTGAATTAGGAATAAGTGGTGTTAAAATGTAGAAATCCCCCCCTACGCTGGGAATCCATTGCTGGACTAGGAATGGTGGGAAAGAGATTTGTTGGACAAGGTCATCAGATAAAGCCATTCCATTTGGATGAAGTATATAGAGACAAAGATTTGGCTTGTGAGGATGGTATGGCTATCTTCGTCATTCAGCGTAGTTTGCTGAGCAGTTTTAAGGAGTCATCATGTTTGGTAAGGAAAGCTGATATGATAGATTATGATAGATTAAGGGTTTTGTCACTGTTCGGTATTTCCCACCAATCTCAAATATACTTTTGTGCTGAGTCATGGTACAGTATTGAACAAGCTCACTGTTAACTCTTACTAACAGGGCAGTGGGTCTCAAACTGGCGTCCGTGGCGCAGGGTGGGATAATAGGGCTGCAAAAAAGTCTCAGAACTTGTGTGTCTACTAAGGAAGCTTAAATTTTGTTTGTTTTTTTCAAATCTTCTTTAAAGCTTCAGTCATACCTAAAAATGTATCACTTGTTTAAAAGTGGTAGATGTTATTAAACACTATAACAGTGAAATACACAATGCAATCACAATTCGTGGCTGTGCCCCGCTCTCTAAGCAAATTATCTGTAGTGTCAGAGAACTGGGCCATGTCTCCATGTGCAGGACAGTGTTAACTAGCAAAATTGGCAGTGCAACATGTAGCAGGGAATCTTACCTGGTCCTTATGGTTCTTCTGTCTCCTTTATTTTTGCTGCTTTCTCATTTATTTATTTATTTATTTTTTGGGATTCATCTTCAAGTGATGAAGCACAGCGGTTGTTGTTTATGTTGTATGAACATTTTATGAAGAATGGACCAATCAACATGGTCCAAAATGACCTGGAATAAATTCCTATTACATTGGCTTTAAGAGTTAAGAACAATTTCCCCTTCCTCTGTAAAAATACCATTGTGAAGGTACCTGGTTTTGTTAGGACGGCGACTGTTTGTTCCATATGGCTGATATGAACAAGGACGTCTCACAAATGCATGTTGTGTAATACTGAAATTACAAACATAAATGGGGGAAAATAACAAATTATTTGTTCTATTATTTGTAAAAATGCAAGCATCATATAAACAGATATTTTAGTCTGATTGAGTGTAGCTTTATTAATGGTTAAAAAAGAAATGTAAAATATTTATGAAAGACCAGTAAGTTTCCATGTTTGCTGAGGAGCATTCATCTTCCAGTATCTCTCAGCAAAGGCATACTGAGAGAGAGAGCGAGAAAGGGAGGGAGAAAATACTTAATCTGCAAAAAGCTCCTCTCAGACACTTTGTGATAATGGATGTGTTATGAATTCATTGAAGAGAGCACCACAGTGCATCTGCTGTTGCACTGGTATCCAATGATGAGTTTGTGTACAGTGCGTCTCCTAATCCATCTTGAGCCTCCTCACCATTCGTCTTAGTAATTAAATGTTGTCAAGGTTTCGCCCCCTCTGACCACATTACTTTGAGCCATTTATTTTGCATGGATGATGTCGTCTTAACTTTTCTACTCGCTCCCTGCCTTTCAAGTATGATGCATAATCAATAGTAAGTGTTTCATTTGTACTCATAATGTTTTTCTCTTCTTTTTTTTGCCTTGTAGGGCCACTGGCTGCCGAGTTGTTGCAAATGTTGCAGTAAATGACAGCTTTGAGAGGAGAGAAGAGGACGCAGGATCAATAAGAGTTGTGTTTCTGGCCACTCTTGTCAGTTAAATAGATAAGTATATACTAAACAGTGCAAGACTTGGAGAGACTGACACAGAAAGAGGACCTAACCTTCTCTTGTGCAGACCAGAGCCGATATGTGGCCTCAGCTGGGGCTGTGCTGCGCCCTCAGCCCAGGGCGAGTGCTCCTTCTTGGGCTGCTGACCCTCTCCTTCTCCCTTACTCCTGCTGGAGGAGCTGCAGAGCCCTTCCAAACATTCTCTCCGTTAGAATGGGGCCTGACCCATCTGGCCATTCATAACACCACTGGCGAGGTATACGTTGGTGCCGTTAACTGGATCTACAAGCTCTCGAGCAACTTGACCAAGCTGAGGAGTCACATGACCGGCCCGGTAGTGGATAACGAAAAATGCTACCCTCCGCCAAGCGTCCAATCCTGCCCGCATGACCTGTCCCAGACCAACAATGTCAATAAGCTGCTGCTGGTAGACTATGGCCAAAATCGACTGATCGCTTGCGGAAGCACCTCGCAGGGCATCTGTCAGTTCCTGCGGCTGGATGACCTCTTCAAACTGGGAGAACCGCACCACCGCAAGGAGCACTACCTGTCCAGCGTGGCTGAATCCGGAACCATGTCTGGAGTCATCATCTCGGAAGGATCCCGCAGCAAACTCTTCATCGGAACCCCAATCGACGGGAAGTCAGAATACTTCCCAACTCTCTCTAGCCGCAAGCTGATGGCCAACGAGGAGAACGCTGACATGTTCAGCTTTGTCTACCAGGACGAGTTTGTCTCCTCGCAGCTCAAGATCCCTTCGGACACCCTGTCCAAGTTCCCAGCCTTTGACATCTACTATGTCTATGGCTTCAGCAGCGAACAGTTTGTCTATTATCTAACCCTGCAGCTGGACACACAGCTGACCTCACCAGATGCCAGTGGGGAACAGTTCTTCACGTCCAAGATTGTGCGCCTTTGTGTGGATGACCCCAAGTTCTACTCCTATGTGGAGTTCCCCATCGGTTGCACCAAGGACGGTGTGGAATACCGCCTGATCCAGGATGCTTACCTGAGCAAGCCCGGCAGACAACTGGCCAACTCTTTGGGGGTGTCTGAGAACGAGGACATCCTGTTCACCGTCTTCTCCCAGGGCCAGAAGAACAGAGCCAAGCCTCCGAAAGAGTCCGCCCTGTGCCTCTTCACACTGAGGCGCATTAAGGAGAAGATCAAGGAGAGGATCCAGTCCTGCTACAGGGGAGAAGGCAAACTGTCTCTGCCCTGGCTCCTCAACAAGGAACTCGCATGCATCAACTCGGTGAGTTCTTGTAACTGATTTGGATACATAGTGGTTGGATGCGTGGGTGGTTACCCTCTGTCGAACTGTCCTTTAACAAAGAAGGAGTAGAAAAATCATTGTCCAATAAATCCACATCAGTTTTCTGATAAGTTAGAAATGTTATTTTTGTGTTTGCCAAAGCTGAATGTTTTTTGCAGCAAAACACCTCAGTGATAGTAAATACAGGGAGATTCACTCGAAAGAGGCCCCGAATATTCTGTAATAACTCTCACTAGGACGAAGCAATCTGACCGAAACAGCGTGCAAGGTGCTCCTCAGTATATGGAGCTTCGAACAAGCCGGGATGCCCCTGCATCGGAGTGATGAGGTAGGTGCCGTTGTTCAGGCAAGGAATGTTCAGGAACATGGAGCATGGCATCGAAATGTGTCTGGCAGAAAACGGAGATCACTTCCAGCATCGCCTGTAATGCAGTCGATTACGCACATGCGTCAAGGTATGTAGCATATTTTTTTGGTTCAGATTGCTTCATCCTAATGGGATTACAACAGAATATTCAGGGCCTCTTTCCAGTGAATCTCCCTGTATAACAATAATTAAGGGTGCTCATCGCATAAACATGTTTGCTGGCTTCTGCCTGGATTTTCCCAGCCGTGCTTTCCTTGTAATACCGTTTACAAAGCATTAAAGCTTTGTAAATGAGAATTTACGAAGAATAAGATGTTCATATCGCTTTGTGGTAATGTTTGAAGGTTACATGTAATTGTTCTGTGTTATCAGCTTCAAAACTGAAGGAAACAGACTTGCTCTGAGTGTGTGCAGATATGTATAGAGTAGAGATTGTGGCTTATCAGAGTTAAACCATGTGTCCTTTGCACTCTTTTTAAATAAGAGTTACCAGTGCAGCTGCTGTAAACTATTGACAATATTGAACTAGCCTAGATATATAATTACCTGTCAGTATCAGTGTAGCATTTGATTATTTCCAGACTCTACTAATTCTGCACTGTTCCTCAGTGGCTGCTATTGTTTATTAGCTCAGTATGCAGCTGTCCTGGTTCTGACATGGGCTCTTTTAAATGGATGTTCTCAAAACCCCTGTACATGGATAATAATGCTGTGACTCACAGTCTTGTGCTGTTGGGAATTAAAAGTTGTGATTTTGAGCTGGTTTTAATAACCTCCCCCTAGTTCAGCCTTCCTGCTCAGAATGACCGCGCGGAGCCTCGCTGTAGTGAGTTTGGTACGCGTTGTTCATTGTTAGTGGAAGCTCATTCTCTGGCCGGGATAATGGTCACCTCATCACATTTGGAAGAGCCTTTTCATTTTCAGCTTTCCATGTGTCACATTTTGCTGCCCACACCTGTTGGGATTCTGCATGTAATGCGATGATTTATGAGCTCTGTCACTTTAAATTAGGCACCTGTAGGTGGGGTTTGCCAGCCCGTGGAAAAGCAGGCGTGGGTGCAGTCACTGAGATGAACTTAAAGGTGTGATTCTTGTCAGATTTTTTTTATTTATTTATTTATTTATTTATTTGGATGCCAAGTCATTGGTTGAAGAAATGCACACTGCAATCTAGGCTTTTTCTAGCGCTCTTTCTCTTGCCTTAGCTTGCTCTCTCTCCCTCTCTTTCCCTCTCTCTCCTTTCATTATTCAGTCAGACAGGAACATCATTAGTTCGTCTGACTAGATTTCTCAAGTCCCTCTTTCTCTCTCGCTGCCTCGCTCGCTCTCTTAATTCATTTAGAGAATCTTGATCCCGTCTTCTCTGCCATCAGAGTCCTCTGGGACCGGGGCTTGGCTGTCGTCTTCTCTTTTGCTCACTCTCTTAATCTCTTTTCTTCTCACTCGCTCTCTCTTTTTCTCTGAGCGACTTTGATTTAACTGAGCACTCAGAGCTTAGGATGACCCCTTTCCAACCCCTGCCGCCTTTTCTCGGGTTTGAAAACACTCAGTTTATTTAGTTTCTATGTACATCTGTGGTCTGTCTGTAGGAGTTTGTGCTGACTGGGGAAAGAACTCATGCGTCATGGTGTTCGATGCTGCTTAAAATGGTCTCACAGTATATTTGGAGGTTATTATCATATCAGTGTTTGTAAAAATATGCATCCAAGCCCATTCCTCTCTCTAGTTCAGGAATGGGCTTCATCTGTGTACTATAAACCTCACTGTGATATCCAATATACTTGTTGTTTCTGATCACAGGAACAATATGCAGTACCAGTTAAAGGTTTGATCCTACTGTGGTTGACATTTTTTACTTAAAAGCTTTTGAAATTGTTTTCTAACACTAACTAATTAATAAAGTTGATGCTTGTTTATTTAATTATTTCCAAAGCAAAATATTTAAAGCGTAATATCTTACATTTTTCTTGCTGTGTATTTTTGCCCTGAGGTTATAATGTTGGTGTGATTATATTTAGCAGAAACAGTCATAATTTATTTTTAAGTTCATTTTCCAACCTCTCTTTATCCCTTAGAATTAAACAGGCTGTTTTGGTTACTGTGACTCTATGACTGGAATATGTAAATGAAGCTCATCTCTAATTGGCTGTCCTGTATTGCACCTAGAGCTGGACAATATGGCCAAAAATGTTATCACTATAAACAAAATTCGTATCGTTCAGTAACAATACATATCGTGATAAACGTCAAATCATTATTTCTTTTAAGTTTGAAAGCTGATTTTTGCTCCTGGGTGGTCAGTTGCTGTTTTAAAGTATCCTTTATGGTCAGAACATGGCAAACACTCGGCAAATAGTGGAACATTTCACAAATCTGTCTTGGGATAGTGGGAGAAAGTGTCAGAGCTGTTTTTACCAGCTGGAAAAGCAATTTTTGTAATAGTCATAATTTAAGAAAGAGAACAGATTATTTTAGCTGTCTGGTGACGAATGCTAGGCTATCCAGTTACAAATACTAAAAAAGTGGCCAACAACAGTGCTAAACTCTTCAGTTTCTCAACAACATCAGCTTAGTACGAACAGCAAACATTAGCTGGCTCGGTATGTCAGTGATGGATCACACCACCTTACTGCCATCACTCCTACCACACCATCTCAGAGCATATCACAGTATTCAGACACCAGCTAGCGATGTCTGGGTTTCTCTATAGTAATTTGAGGGGTGAACCGAAATATATCAACACCAGTCAAACAGAGTCCTCCTTTTAGGTACGTTTAAACTGAAATTGGTGCTTTTTTGCCTTGTTTGATCTACAGTAACATCAATTCGCCATGTTGTATGAGTGACGGAGCGCTGCTTCAAGTTAGCCAGCAGCTAAAAACAGCTAGCCTGGAAAGCTAGCGCTCTCCCGCTCTCCAATGCCTCACAGCTTCAGTTTACTTTCGTTTAAATCTGGGCTGTAACTCACATGAACGCACTTCTTTCTTTCACTTTCGTTGCTCAGGAATGCACTAATACTAACATATGACTGTTTGGCGCTGTAACAGCGCTTTAGTTGTGAGGAGCAGACGTGATTTAATGCTACTAAAGCTTTTTAGGATGTTAGGAAAGAGGTGAGTTCACTGTAGGACAGTACAGTTACGCCACTTATCTCGTCACTCACACTCGGTCACAGGAGAACAGATCGCCGGTCGCTCCACTGAAACAGGGAGTGTATAACTCCGCGTTTCAGCCGTTGCTAAAGTATATTTGGTGACTCATTTTACTCGTCGCTCCCTCCCTCTCTAATCATGTTGAAAAACTCAGAAGTGCGCCCTCTCCTGGCGACAGCAGAGTAGTGTCGCTTTCCTTGCAGTAGAAAACGCCACCAGGGCTTTCGCTGAACGTGGAAGTGTAAAAATGGTGTATTATATCAAATTTATCGAACATTTATTGTTCTATCGAGGAAAGTTATATCGCGATAATTATCGTTATCGTTTTATTGCCCAGCCCTAATGGCACCTCATTCAAAATGCAGTCCACACTGATGCACTCCTTATAAGTTGAGCATGAGTAGGCGGGGCTATACTGCAGTAGGTTGAATAGGTGGATATGTAAAAATGTAAACATGTTGCTTTTCATGACAGCACAGAAATAGTGAATTCAAAACTGTTTTTCAGTTGTGTTTGTATGTATGGTCTGTGTGGGCTGAGGAGTGAATGACATGTTTGTACTACTTTTAAACTTTTATTTCAAAAAAGCAAAGAGAATTTGTTTTTTGATGACATGGTCTCTTTAAATAAAATCTTTTTCATTTTATTTTAGCATAAGGATCATAAAAGAACAATATTTAAGAACAGATTTTAGAACAGAACAGTTTTTCCTGATCCATTCAAGCTGGTTTCTAAGCAGCATTAAAAACACTAAACACATGTTGTGCTTCAGAATGTAACCAAATCAAAGCAAATGCTGTGTACTGTGAGAAAAGCGAAAAGCAGGAAGTATGGCTTAACCACCACCGCACAGAGTTGTTTGACTGTTTCCTTCTAGTTACACTGACTGGCTGAGGACGGTGATGTGTGTATATTTGTGCTGATGAGTTGTTCGTACCAGTGCTGCCCCAATTTAATGTTCAAGCCACAAGCTAATGTGTAAACCTTGAGCTAACATGCTAGCGACTTCTCCCCAATTTAGACGTATCCAATTCCACCCACTACACGGGGCGGGGGGGGCACATCCTGCTCACCCAGAGAGAGCGAGGCCAATTGTGCTCTCTTGGACTCCCGGCCGTAGCATCACCAGGTTTTGAACTCGCGATCTCCTGATGATAGGGCCAGCGCTTATACAGTTGCCCCCACTCAGAGTGATTTCATGTGAAATTTGCTGTAGTTGAGAAACTTACCAAGTCAGGAATGTTTACAGCAGTGGTAATAGGAACCAGACAGCCAAAGAGCTTAATGCCTCTAAAAGCAAGTGAATACTTTGCCTGAACACATTCATAGTGGTGATTTACGTCCAGGGGGTTATGAGGCAAACAGGTACACAAGTAAATATATATATTTTTCATATTTGCTGTTACTTTACCGTTATCAACATTATACACAAAAACTGAGCTATTTTTTTATTGTGAATA